CCCTTTTAATATTCATTTATTTTTTATTTATTAGCAATAGCTCTGCATATTTTATTAACGTCGTTAAATAATAAAACGTGAGGCATAAAGCAGGATATATACCTACAAAAATTAACTCAAAGTGTAATATCATAAGAATTGTCTTATGGCTTTTACAGGAAATGGTAAAGAGCATTATTTTTCATGAAGAAAGTCAATATCATGCTCAATTGAAATTAAATCCAAAAAGGATAAAGCATTTGGTGAACTTATCCGTAATTACTACATGGAGTCTAATTGTGGACAATTGGGTCATTACTTCATTTAATTAAAATTAAAACATATGAAACGTTATGGAACTGAAATAAAATCATCCATAATGTAATATTTATGATCGATCATAACTATTAAATATTTCATTAAATGTTTGATATCGTGCTAGATAAAAATATAAATTTTTTTTTCAAGGTGATCCATAACTAGTGGCCTTAATCTACATATCTATAAATAAAAATTCCGTGAAAAGAAAGGCAATCTAATCTAGATTATCTGTGTGTCTATTCTGTTGTTCAATACTTGTTGAACGTCACTTACATACGTTATATATCCCAGTGTACATATCTTACAGTGTAGTTCTCACAAAGTTCCTAGAGAAACTGTGGAATCTATTTCTGAAAATCTTATAAAAAGTATTAAAACGTGTTTGTACTTCGAGCAGCACAAACTAATACAGTTAAAATGCTAGCCGACTTGGAAACTATGACGCTAGAAAGAGCGCTGGCACCATTAATGACTATTGGCGCGTTCTGCAATTCGGCCATGTTCGAATATCCTTTTGGACAACCTAGGACGTATATCACTTGCCTGTATGGTTTCGCCAAATGGAGCCTTCTTACGTACTTTTTTTACTATCCATATTATTCCATCCGTAGTTTACAAAATAAAAGAATATACATCCGGCAAATCCTGTTGTTGATCACCATCATTATATTCATTCCCATCAACATCTGCCGTTTTAAGGTAAAAATTTAACATGTACTCCCGATTACTATGGTATATAATAATACTTGATCTTTTAATATTACTTGTCTTTCGTTTAGTAGTATTTTTAATTGATGGAATTAAAGGAGTCTTAAATTCATAATTATAGGCACATACAAATTTATGAAAAGTTTTTATAAAAGGCTTTCGTTACCTTCAACTATGACCTACTTTTAGTCAAACTCAAACTATGCAGTCTATCCAATTCGGCCCTCTTGCTAATCTACTCGTTCCTTGCAATTCGCACCCAGCAAGCCCTCATGTATAATCCTTTTCCTCTTTTCTCCTCTCCTTGTGAAATTTCCTATGGAGTACCCCAGGGTTCCATACTCGGACTTTTACTTTTAATATTTTTGTCTCTGATTTGTCTAATGTTTCTCTGTCCTCCGATCTGTTCATTTATGCAGACGACGTAATTCTTCTCAAATCCTTTCATCCATTCGATGCAGTAACAGACTGTTCCGCTTTAAACAAAAATCTAAAATCTATTGCCGAATGAATAATTCAAATAGTGAAATATACAAAATTATAGACTTCTTTAATTAATACCATAAAATATAACAGCGAAATTTAAATGGGTGTTAGGAGTCTCTGAGCTGGATGCTATCTTGCGTAAAAATTAATTGTGAATAACAAATTAGATTTATACGTTTCGGCTCACGTTTTGAACCATCCTCAGCAATAACAATTACCGCTAATCGCGCTAAATAGCGCGCAGACTCCTAACGCGCAGTTGAATATCGCTGTTATAATCTATTGCCGAATGGTCTCTACTAATAATTCACTGCATCTAAATCCCTATAAATCATCTTTGCTTATTGTCGTTCCTCAACATTATTATCTCGTATTCAATCTTTCCATATTTCTCTTAACTCTGTTCCAATTCCTCGCTCCTCCTCTATTGAAATTCTTGGTGTCCATGTTGAATCTTCGTATTCGATTCACACGTGGCCGTCAAGTGTCTGGTTTCATACACCTGTCTACATCTTCGTTATCCCCTTCCCTTCACCACATCCTTTCCTGCTCTCAAAAACTCCTCACTTCTCAATTATGCGTTATTTCGTTATTTTTCGTTCGTCGATGTCGTCTATGTTCTGACTCTTACTCAACAACTCCTGAATCGTGTACAGCGTATCCAAAATTCTTACTTCAGTTTCTCTTATTGTGTCAGTAAATACGACCATATCTCCGTATTATCAGAGGTCTGGGGCTGGATTAAAAAATTTTTTTCTTCTCCTATGCTGTCTCGTTTTTTATCTCCTTCGCTCCAATACTCCATTATATTTGCGACGCTTCCTTCAATTGAACTCTGAGCTTTATTTTATTTTTTACCCTCTTGTCACCAGGTACCAATATTACTTATCCTTCCCATTCATTGTTCCACTAAGTTCCGTGCTGCTTTCTTCTACACCTCAGTCAAATGTTGTAATTCTCTTACTGTAACAATAAAAACCATTCCCTCTTTGTCCTGTTTTCCTTCTGCTGCCTCACGTTTTATCGCGTCACTCACAGTATTGAAACAAAACTGATGTAACTGGTAAATGTAGGTGCTTGCGTGGGCGTGTGTGTGTGCGTGCGTATGTACATGATTTTAACTATTGTTTCATCACTCAGAACATCGTTACCTTAGTTGCGATTTTTTGTTGTTGGTAGGCTCTGTAACAGCAGTTTTGCTGACGTCTAACCATTTGCAAGCTACTATAGTCTATCGTATCATATTTTTTATTTACGTTTATTACTCTTTTAACGTGTAATCTTTTCCATAGCGCTTTGCAATAAACTAAATTAAATAAAAAAAAGTTTCTTTTGATAGATCAATTTTAATACTTAATTTATTACAATGTAACTATCACATTCCGTATAAACATTGCAATAACAATTTTTACTCAAATATAAAATTACAATAATTTTGTTCGTGTCGAATAATCGATCAATATGATTTTTTTTAAAGGAATTGAAGATATGTTTACGTGAACTTGCTATAGTAGACCACACGTTGGAAGCTTTCGGAACGCCAAAGGAATATCGAAGGCTACGTAATTGGATAATTCGAATGATTATCGGATTGATTGTATACGTTTGTTATTTTGTAACATATAATGCGTTTTCCTATTCTTTTCGTTGCCACAGAACTATATCTTGGGGCGATATCTTAGGTATATTTCTAATGTATTACCCGTACAATGCCGTTGTCTTAAGTGCTCTGTTTTCTGCAGCTATCCTTGGGTTAGTATTATAGATATGTGTACATTTAATTTGTAAGTTATTTTTATTGTTATTGTGCGTCAAAAGTTTACAGAGTGAAACACTTAAAGACCTTCTGGTACATACAATATAAAAAAAGAGAGCCATCTCCGTCAAGGACCATGACCTTAGCAACATATGTATGTTGTCTGTATTATCTGTACAAAACATGTATATACAATACTTATGTTGAGTATTAAAAATATGCTAAACAACAATTATTTAAAATAAATAAATAATCACTACTTTTTATTATTAAATATTTGTAAGAAGTGAACATCTTTAAAAAACGCCGTGACGGAAATAATGTTGAGTAAAGTAATCGAATAAACATATATGGTCAGAATTTTCCTCTCTGATGAACATGACCTTGACATATGTCGTCATAAAAAAATGACGGTAAAATTGTAACAAATAAGAGAAAAAATCATCTTAAAAAAGTAATTACAAAACTAACGGTAAAAGTTAGTTTTGTAATTACTTTTTTAAGATGATTTTTACTAACCTTCATCCGTGGCTGTAAGGAAGAGCTGCGCCGCATGTCAACAAGTAGTTATATTACGATAGAATTGACGCTACGCAGTTTGAAAAAATAATTCGAATTTTTTCATTTTTTTTCTTTTTTTTGACATTCAAAAAAATAGAAAAAATTAACGTAGACTATTAATTCTAGTTTGTGCGATAATGATATGTTCTCTGAGTATAACCGTAAAAATAGAAGTTAGTCGGACTAATAGTCTTTTTGGAATCGTGATTTCCATATTCGAAACACGGTTTCGGGAAAAACGCGAATAAAGTTCTGAAACATTTTAGTACAAGTACCGCTTCGTTTTCCGTTAGGAGCGAAAGTGACACTCAGAAGGGAACGAAACTCTGCTCTATTTGATAGAAACGTTCTACAATGGTTTCGAAATGTTGAATACAAATAATGGCGAGCGCCGGTAATAACAGTAATTGATTGGGGCGCGCTATTTGAATCGATCGAGTGGCCCCAAACATTACGTTTTTGTGGCATATTTTTAAGTCTAAGTTTTCAAAGAAAGTAAACAAAAATCGATTTTTCTTACCTTTAAAACTAAAAACCTAGTTAAAATACATTTGTTTAACGTTTTTACCAATTGCTTAGCAATTTCATGTAACATTTCCCTGCTTATCACTGATTGCCAAATTGTTATTTTCTGTATGGTGCGTAGTATTCAGGTGGCTTTCTTTTTCGTTATCTAAAAATTATAAGTTTTGGACAAAACACATTTAAAAATTCTGCTGCTCATATATGTATAAATATTATATTGAAATATAAAAAGTAAATAATTAAAATCTAATTTAGTCCGACTTCAGATTATTTATTAATACAAATAGCGTTAATATGCTTATACGTAATGTATATGTTATAATGTTAATAAAAGAGATAACTAAGTCTTTTTTAATTCAGATGCATAAGCTCCAGATTTCATCGAGTCAATGAACGTTTACTTGTATTATATTCTGATCTGTTCGAGAGCAGTGCAGATTATAGAAAACAAAACAGATCCATCTTTGTGCATCAGCGTATAACAGAACCTAAAGATCACAATCAATATGTTATATGGATTTTAATGTAATAATTAGTTAATAGAATTACCGTGTTCACACATTCACGCGAATGTATATATATATATACGAGGTCTGTTCAAAAAGAATCGCGAAAATTGAATTTCCGCAGGTTACGTATATTCGATTTTCGATTTTTTTGTGGCGTTATGTTGTTACTCATGTCTCTCACTTATGCCGACAAGTTCGGCCATTTTGAATGTTCAGTTAATTTTTGACAGCTGCTTTGCTTGCACGTGTTTTGGTTCGTCTTCGATTTTTGCCTATTCCAAGGAATGGATCAAAGAATCTGTATCAAATTTTGTGTGAAAAACAAAATTAAGTGCGCGGACGCATTCCGAATGTTGACTGCGGTATATGGTGAAGCTACCTTGAACCGAAGCAACGTTTATTGGTGGTACAAAATGTTCTCAGAGGGCCGAGAAGATGTGAACGACGAAGAGCGTACCGGACGCACGAGCACGTCAACAACAGACGAAAACATTGATGAAGTGAAGAAAATAGTATTGGCCAATCGTCGAATCACCGTCAGAGAAGTTGCTGAGAACCTAAACATATCGATTGGCTCGTGCCATTCGATTTTTACCAATGATTTGGGCATGAGACGGGTCGCCGCGAAATTCGTGCTAAAATTGCTCAATTTCGACCAAAAACAGCATCGCATTAACATTGCTAAGGAGCACACTAATAATGCCGCAGCCACCGTGTTCCCCAGATCTGGCCCCCTGTGACTTTTTCTTGTTCCCGAAACTGAAGAGGCCCATGAAAGGACGACGCTACGCTACGATTGAGGAGATAAAGACGGCATCGTAGGAGGAGGTGAACAAGATCACAAAAAATGATTCTTTGAAGTGCTTCGAGGATTGGAAAAAACGTTGGCACAAGTGTATAATATCTGATGGGGATTACTTTGAAGGGGACAAAAGAGATATTCATGAATAAATAAATAATATCAATCTAACTTTCACATCGACATATTTCAAAAAGTATAAAAAAAATGTTTTCTATGAATGTGCAATTGCTTCGAGCGAGGCCTATTAGGATCACATTATTCTTTTCTAAATAGAGATACGATGAGAGATGCAATGAAAAAGTGTATAATGTTTATCCACGATTTTTAAAATGGAAATATATGATTTTTTACGGAATATGATTTCTGTATAATCATTCTGCATGTAAAACTATTAAGTTAGATATATAAAGAACCAATAATTTATGAGATATTATAGACACATTTCTCTGGCACATATAATTGACATGACACATTAAGTATCTCGGAAAGCACTAATTTTTTGATAATCGTAATAACCTAATACTTTTATGGATATAATAATGAGATAAATCAGGTGTAAAGATAATATATACTTGTTTGTTTAACAGAATTATTCACTGTGCCTATGTATTTTTTTGGTATAACTTTAAAAAATTAGCGACTTCTTCCACCAATTTCAATAATCTTAATATATATTTTCAAATAAAATTGATGATATTAACATATATTTAATTCTTCATTTTTCAAATTCTCTCCTTTGATACACATATTCTTTGCTTCACAGTACAAATTCTCTACCTTAAAGACACAAATATTCTGCATTCAAAACGAAATTACTTTAAGAAGAAAGTAGCTAAGTTAGAATATGATAAAGCAGGGGAAAAGTGGATCTTTTAAGAAGAAAGTGAATTTTAATCTCAGAAAAAAATGAATTCCTGAAAATGAATTCACACAAAAATGAGTCCACACAACATAAATTCACAAAAATGAATTCACACAATTTTCAGATACATATATTTTATTTGAAATGAAAATATTAAACATACTTCCAAATTTAATTTTCTTTGCAGGGACTGTGCGTCTAACACATCCTTAAATTGTACGGTAACATCTTTTAGATGCCTCGATCTTCTCCTAAAAAAAAAACGATGTAGCTGAATATGTTTAAAAAGAATTAAAAATATTATGTCATCCTTGAAATAGTTCCACTTTTATCTGATACACACTTTTTCGTATCGTTTTGAGATAATTTGATGCAACAGTTGATATGAGACATCTTATATATGTATATACATTATAAGAATAATTAATTTCAATTAGGTGAAATAATCATACGTTGAGAACCGCAAGTAATAAAACACTAAGTTTATATCGAATTCTACGTTAAAAATATAATTTCCTTAGTGTACTTCTCGTGTATGTCTTTCGGTTTGATTAATTATAACAATTGTAATACAATTTATTTACAGGCACGTCCACCTACAACTATGCCTTATATCACGCAAACTAAACAAAGTATTGAAAGTACAAATGTCAATAGAAATGGCATGGTACTTTTATGATGCTTTAATTATCTGTCTATTAATGTATGAAATGATTGCAGCGTATCAGTATATATGGGAATTCACTAATACTTTCGTCTATTTATGTGTGTATTTTGATTTCGTTTTGACGACAATTTTATTTCTCACATTACACTGCATATGTCAAACTGTTTATAATAAGGTATATATTATAAAAGAACAAATGAATTAATAACTAGTTATTACTACAATAATAAGCACAAGCAACAATAAAATTACACATGTCAAAGTTTTATTTAAAATTTTATTCATTGAGAGAGAGAATGCAAAGTTTTCAGATTTACTACAAACTTTCGTTTTATGTGATATAATTTCAGATAAATGAGACAGTAGCAATTCTTCACAAATTGTCCAGTTATAATCTCGATGAGGATTTACGTAAACAGGTAAAGAATTACAATAAAATTTAATTTTAGAATTTTAATTTCTATTTCTTATGCGTAATTTTACTAGACTAAAAATCTGGATATCAACATATATGTCATTGAATGAGTGTGTACAAAATTGGGATATTACATAACAATTGTGTTATTCTTTTATATATTTTAGAAGACTTGTACGCACATTCTAACGCCACACGTAAGGATAAGCTAGAAAAAGTTAGAAAAATTTTTTATTATATATAACAAAAGCGAATTTTTAAAAGTTATTTCATATTATCAATAATGTAATATCATACCTCATCGTACTGTCAATATTCTACTATCATATGATCTGTATCCTACTATCACTCTACAAATATTCTGCAAAATAAGATCAGTACGTTTTGGCATATAGAATTGAAAATAATTTATAAGGGTTTTGTAGCTGGTGTTGATACGTACAAATATCCTAAAAATACATATAAAAGAATACAGTATGTTAAATTCATAGTATCGTATTATATTCATTTTGAGTTATTTATTTTTTAACCATTTCTGTATATCGGCCTTGTTTTTACTCAATATGTCGTTAATTTTACTATATAACATTGTGGTTAAATAACTTAACTCTTGAAAATGTATTAAATTTGAATCAAATTTAATTTATTATATAGTAACAATAAGTTCAAACATTAATGTGAACGCTTTACTTTGAAACAAAAAATGGATTGATTTTGACACATATTGAAGTTAAAAATTACAAAATGTTATTAAAAATAAGGGATAGGTTTGCTCTTTAAGGCTCCTTACAACTCAGCCAAGAACTCTACGTTGACGGTAGCGATACAAAGTCAGGGTCCGCACACAAAGGTGATCGCAACTGTTTCCGACTGAGTCGTAATCGTAAGTCAACGCACAATGATTTTACGTATGTCGTTTACGACAATGACTTTCAATTACCACTCAATCGGAAACAGTTCCGACCATCTTTGTGCGCAGTCCCTCAGACGGCTGTCTGGCGAAACCGATAGTCATACCTTCAACGTAGTTAATGCCATGGCACATAAAAAAACTTAAGGCGTAAGACTTAAGCAGTAAGCGAATCGACCAATCACAATAGAGACTGTAAGACCATACTTAAGCAATAGCAAATCCAACATGTTGATTTCGTTACTGCTTAAGTCTTACGTTTTAAGTTTTTTTATGTGCCATGGCCTTTACAGCGTAGTGTTACAGCACCGCACCACGATAAATGGCTAAATATTTGGCGTGAAAAAGTGACGTTTTGAAGACGAAATTTATATTGCATGCCATTTCATTATTATTTGTTTGTGAAAATGTGACTTGTCTCGTACTTCTCAAAGTCGAAATTATTGATGAGAACTAAAGTTATCTTGGAATTTTATATGTAAAAACGTACGTTTTACTCGTTTCAACATCCGTCAGATCATTTGTTACTGCCCGAATATAGGTTCACTTTACGTGCC